AGCTAAACAGCTTGTTCAGAGGTGCATTTTTCAGCTAAAGAACAAAAGAAGGATCCTGAGAATGACAATGACACGTGTCCTGTAGTTGATCACACAGAGAGATGTTAAGTATATGAGAAGCTGGTTGTAAATACAATAATGATACCTTATGAATAATACTCATCATAAAAAATCTGTACATTCACATTATACAATGAATGTATCAGCAGCAGGTATCTGAGGAAGTTAAGATAGTATTTATAAAACATTCATGTATCAATAGCAAGAAATTAAACAAAATAAAAAAACTTTTAAACATCTTAGTATTAATAACAGTCACTATTCTTCCATGTTACCTATAAAAGTCAAAAACAGTAGAGATTGTAATGAACAATAAAATCTTTGATGAAATCAAGGATGCAATAGACTGTATCTTCTCCCATCCACAAGCACGTGTCTATCAATGTTTCATCATAGCTGTTTCAATCATCTTATTTCTAAAAGAAAATAACTATATTTTGCAGTTTAGATAAGCGTCTTTTAACAAAACTTGAGACAATTTAGATCAAACAACATCCAAACTTGACATGAATTAAATTTGATAGAAAACAATTTTAAACATTGCTCAGACCTAAACATAGTGAAAATTTGATTAATCTTGTCAACACTAAACTTATATGAAATTAAATATAGCAAAATTAAAATTCAATTTCCATAAGCTTTCTAATTAATTTTGATACTATTAACACAAAAGACATTTCACTCAACATGAGCTTTTCTCTGAAGCTCAATTTCACTTACAACAGTTTTTACTTGAAAAGTGGATAGAAAAAACACCTGAATAATTCAATAATGCAATTTGTAAATCTTCTGATTTTTGCATTGCCCATAGAAATATTCTCTTTTCAATGGTAGGTAAAACACTGCAAAATCTTTGCCTGCTATTGTTAGCAATCTCACTCTGGCTCTGATTATGATGTCATCTCTAGCATTGTAAAGATTGGTTTTGGGGCTCTCTAAGATTAAAAATCCACGAGCTTCCTTCATCTCATTCTGTGTTGGAGCATTGGCAAGGCTATAAACTAGTCTTTTTCTAGGTCGAAATCTCCTCCCTTTAAAGCTTTTCTTCTCACTTCAACCCAGTTGATTGATTTTAAACTTCTTCCTGAAAATTCCCTTGATTTAAAATTTGATGGATCTCTTCCTGGATCCGGTGAACCTGCATCTTGCAAATCTGTCTCTTCTCCTGGAGGGAAAATCCTTATCTCGCTGTTGTGTTTGTGCTTTTGGTGATTGAACTCTCGTCCTGCTCTCCTCTTCTCCCTGCAATAATAGAAGCGGCCAGAGGAGCCGCTGTTGTTGGAGGTTGCGAGCCTCGGTGGTTACAAAATGGCGTCGCTGGCAGTGCGCATGCTCCACAGAGGGCTCCGTCCGGGCATGCGCAATGAGGTCTCTGCACAGCTTGCTGTACGGAGCATGTGCAGTAGTGCCTCAGGGAACCGCCCGAGCCCGCGCCGAGTTCAAACTGGGGGGGGGCACATTCCTGCGCGGGGGGCTTGCCTGCAGCGCCGAGAGGGACCCCCGCCGGGTTGGCTTGGGGTAAAGCCGTGTCTGGAGCTTTTAAAACCTGTGGCAAAGCCGTGCCTGCCGCTTTGGGATCCTTCGTGGCTGACCCCCACCCCCCTCTCCCCGCCCCCCTTCCGAAAGGCGGTGGAGCTGTCCTTCCTCGCTCTGTCTTCTCCGTCTGCTGTGGGTTCCACGCCCGGGTAGGTCCCAAATACTTCAGGGAGTCCCCGGGAGTGGCTTTGCAGGGTTGGGGTGTGCCCCGCTCGGCGGGGTTTTCCCTCACGCTGCCTGAGAGGGAATAGGCGGGGCTCCTCCCGCGCTGCCTTCTGCTGTTCGGGGTGGTTTTGGGACACCGCGAGTACCTCGCTGATGTGCACCTGTGCACCACACCTACGCCCTGGGTCTGCATTTGGAAATTGGTTGTGTACCCAAGATAAGAGCTCTTTCGGCTGCTCTTTTGGGACAGATATGGGATGCTCCTTTATCATTGATTCTAGGAGATTAAAGGCATCTGTGATCTGGACATTACGTTTCCCGTAATTAAATATGATTAACCCTGAAGCGTACCTGACTTTTGCCGTCAGATGGTTCCTCTCGGTTCCCTTATTCCGTGACCGTCCAGCAGCAGGGGTTTCTGGTTCCTCCGTCTCACCAGCTTCTGGGAATCCCCGTGTCGTCGTTTTGCTTTCTCTTTTTTTCCCAGACATTTTTCCAGCTTTCCGCTGCCTTCTTTTTTCTCTTTTTATTCAGGGAGGTCCCGACCCTGAGCTCCTCACAGGACGAGCACCACTTTGTAAAAAGTCTCTTTTGGGTTCTTTTCCTCAAGGTTGGGATTATTTGGAGTGAGGGACAGTTTTCCTGTTCAGACTCAGTTGTTTATTTTCCCTTATCTATATTACATTCTCACAGACAGTATGTTCATCTGCACACTAAGCTCACAGTCTAAAAAATGGAGCCTCAGGTATCTCTTTCCAAAGCTTTTTAAGTGTCAACTACCCAATTACAAAATGCCAACTAATTTATTTTTACTTTTAACCCAATAACCAAACACCCGTGTTCCACATTGCAGATTTTTCTATCCAATCACACAATATTACTAAAATCCATGAAGGAGAAGGCGAAAGAACAAAGCAAGTTAGCACTCTAAAACCTCCCTCTTATTGCATGCATATTACTATATTCTAAAACCTTTAAAGTCTAAATTTTCCACCAAGTGATATGACACACTTCTATTCAAATAACACACTCATGGTTTCTGTCTATCAGTTTTGGAAGCCTTTTCCATGGCCTCATGTCAAACACAGTGTTCTCTTGTGGTTCTGTGCCTTTCAGCACAGAAAGCATTAAATTCTCTGTGCCCAGAGTTCCAACAGGCAGCCTGCTGCAGAACCCCATCCTTATGTCACCTGCCCTGCCCTCCCTTTAATCCTGACCTGTAAACCTTTGGTTGGCTCCTCATCTATCCCCAGGTAGTTACATGTATTTCAATAGGACAGGACACTTGTATCCACAGAGGCATTCAAGTTGCCCTCCTCACCGCCAGAAGCTGACTTACAGACCAGAAGGGCTGGAATTCCTTTGTTCTGCCCTTCAGAAGCTTACTCGCTCCTGCCATCTCTCTCTAGGCCCTGAGAATCTTTTGCCCTGCCATCCAAATAGTAAGAGATGGATGGACTGAGGTTCCCCTCCCCTCAGCAACTACAGTAGCACTTAACATCCACACCCAGTGACTGCAGCCGTCCTTACTGCTCTTCAAAGATGGAATCCAGCACTTCAATTTTTTGCCCAGTGGGAGAAATGGAAAATTATGATCCAAATTTGAAGTATGTTCTCTAAGATATTAGAAAAAGTTCAAGACATGGGAAAATTTAGCAATGGTACAAACTTCTTGGCTCCTGCAAAGATTCACTGAAATTTAGTTGCCAAAATTTTGTGTACTGTTACAATTTTGACAACTGGGGGGCAGGGAACAAGCAGGGTGGAAAAGGGGATGATATTCTAGGCAAAAGAAAATAAAATAAGAGGTGCTAACACATACATTCTGGCCTTAAGGCATAGGTGCATATCTCAATAACAGTCTTCTATAAAGAAGCACACACAATGTTCCCAGGATGTGTCTAATTCTCAATGGCAGCCAGTGCATCTTAAGTAGCTCCTCAAAATATTGGGCAGGAGCAGATGCCAGGCATGCACATTTTCAGACCAAGCTGATTAAATCTGTAAAAATTGGGAGCTAAAATATACCAAACAGAGGGCACAACCTCAATGGCCTTCCATGAACCGGCCTGTTTCAGCTGTGACCCATTCCTGTAGGAACATGCAGTGCTTCGCATGAAAGCATGGTAAAACATTTTACTTCTTCGTACATAGAAGAGCTTGACCCAAGCTGGAGCTTGGCAGCGGCTCACAAACATGCCTAATGGTGCTAGCGGGCAACAGGGTTCACCCAGAAGAGCTGAGGAGGGGCTCTGCTGAACAACGCGGATGCCGGGGTCGTTCGCAACCGGAGGTCTCTCCACGGCCCGCACTCCCTCTCCTCCAGTCCCCTGCCGCGGCGAGGTGTGGGCAGAACGGCGGAGTCCCCAGACAGACAGCCCTCTCTTCCGTCCTCTGGCTTCCTCCTCCAGCCTTTTCGCTTCCCACATTGGAGGCTGCCACACATGGACCGCAGACGGAGCGGCGGCGGCAGCAGCGAGGACATCGCTGCGCGGCGCCTCCAAGCGGCCGCGGGGCATCTCCCGAAGGGCCCCGCCGCTCCAAGCGGGGTGCGGGCAGCGGTGCTGCCCCTGCTCGTGGAGAGCGGAGGGGCGGCGGCCGCGGGTCTCGAACGCCGGGGCGGTGCGGCCGGCGGGGGCGGAGCCGCGCCCGTGACGCGACGCTCCGGCGGCGGCGGCGGGGCCGGCGCTGGCGGGCGGGGGCTCTCTCGGCGCGGAGCTTGTTCGCTGCGGCTCCGGGCGCTCCAGCGACGGCAGCAGCGCTCCGGCCGGGGGAGGAGGAGGTGCCAGACTCCGGTGTCGCGTGCGAGCAACGAGGGGGAGCGGAGCGGCTGCTGAGGCGGCCGGAGGAGGAGAAGGAGGAGGAAAGGAGCGGGGAGCAGCGCCGCTTGGTCGGCCCGGCGGTGCTGCTGCCGCCACTTCCCCACTGGGCGCTCTCCTGCCCGCGAACTCGATCCGCTCCCGGAAACTCTCGGCTCTCCTCTCACTCGCGCCGGCGGGGTCTCGAAACAGCTCTCGGCCCCGGCGAGGCGGGCGGGGGAAGGGAGTGACGGGGGCAACTTCTCGCACTTCTCCGGAGAAGGATTTGGGTCGCCCCGCTCCGGGGACGGCAGCGCCTGGGGTCCCCGCCGCGGCGGGAGAACTTTCGCCTCCGATCGCGGGGCGGCGAGAGGGGCCCGGGTGCGCCGGCCGCGGCGGGAGCAGCGCGGCGGCAGCGGCGCCGGCCCGGCAGCCGCGGAGATGAAGCTGAGCCGGCAGTTCACGGTGTTCGGCAGCGCGGTCTTCTGCGTGGTGATCTTCTCCCTGTACCTGATGCTGGACCGCGGCCACTTCGACCATCCGAAGAGCCCCCGGCGGGAGGGCACCTTCCCCAAGGTGAGAGGGGCGGCGGCCGGGGCGCGGCGGGCGGAGGTGGAGGGGAGGGCGGCCGTGCCGCCGCCACCGTCCCCTGGCCGTGCTGCTGCTGGAGCTGCCGGAGCTGCCGGCGGGCCGAGGCACAGCGGCTGCGGGGCCGGCGGGATGGGGGCCGAGCGGGGCCGCCTGCGGGCGGCGCTGGTGCCGACCCGGCGCGGGGCTGCGGCGGGAGCGGGCACAGCCGGGAGCGGGGTCTGGCGGAGCTCGCTCGGCGGGACGGGACGGGCTGGGGACGCGCTGCGGATGCGGCGGCTCCGCGGAGTGCGGGGCGTGCGCGGGCAGGACGGGGAGAGCTGAGAACTCGGGAACCTCAGCCGTGTCAACAACAGGTAGGTTTAGGGAAATGCTGACTTGGTGTCTGTTTTCCTTTCCGCTGAGCCGTGCTGGAGCCATAACTGGCTGACCCGACTGCTCCTCTCATGATTAAACGGCGCAGTTTTTCAGTTCTGCACTTCCCTGTGTTGGCTGCGTGGCAGAGAAGTTTAAAAGCTGTGTGTTGTGTTTCTGTTCTAATAATTGGCAATGTTTTCCCGTGAAAAGAAACATAAATTTCAGAGAGAACGTGGTTTGCTGTGCAGAACGGCACAATACTGCTGGCTATACACAACTGTGTGTTCTTACAGACAAAAAAAAAAAAAACCCAGCAAAACCTCAAAGAATAGAATACAAAGTTACAACCTATTTATGCTTGCACGGTACTTATTTTTACTTTTATTAGAAACATACCGAATGAAAGTATAGCTTAGTACTGTAGTGAGACTAAAAGCTTAGTTAAAAAGTAACAATCATCTCTCTTTTAGAACCTCTCTTGTTTCATCCAATGCAAAAGTAATAATTGATATAATTATTTTAATGGTAAAGACAAAGACCTCGACTTAAATGTAAAGAAAGAGAGTAGATCTGTTCTGCCTTTATTCCTTCAAGTTACAGTTCAGAGGTCAGCCTTCAGTTTTTGCAGGAAGTAAGAGAACAAGAGGAAGAGAAGTGGAGCAAGACAAGACTGGCTACAGCAGCTGTGTCTGTTCAGTGTGTAACTCCAGCAGGAGGGTAATGCCACAGGCCAGTCTTGTACAAGTACAAGACTGAGTACAAGTGCTGCTCTGGGGATATGGGCAGTACCTTATGTGAGGAAATCACTTAATCTGTCATTTTTCTACAAGCTAAGTTTAATGCAGGTGAAGTATGGAACAGTAAAACTCATAAAAGGGTGTTGTTTTTTATTTTTAGTGTTAGTTTTTGGGTTGAAATATTTGAGCAAACAAGGAAGATTTATTAGATGTTTTGTCTTCCTTTGTCAGTGTCTTGCAGTTGAAGGTCCTGTCTGTTCCTGTCCTACAGTGTAATCCTGGTCAGAGGTGTAACATGGTCTTACCTCTTGTGACTGTGGGTTTGGTACCTTAATCTGTTTTCAGGCCTATTCCTTCTAGAAGGTGCAGTCAGCTAGAGGCACACGTTACTCCTTTCATCCTCTTCCCTCCCCTTGGTCTTCTAGAAGAGTCAATGAATGTTTTCTTTTTTTGTCTTTTCCATGCCTAGATTTCTTTGAGGCTTCTGATTCTCACTGGAGAAACTTCTCTGGTCCTTCCTTTGGGCGGAACAGTTACCTTTTCCTTTCTTACTGCTTTGTCTTTTGAGGAAGTTACAGATGAAATTCATATGATTTTGTCATTTCCTTTTGCTATGCCTGTGGTAGAAATGTTTCACTTTGTTACAACTGTAAGAGCTCTGACACCCAGCAATGCTTTCAGAGTTTTAGAACATCAGTTTAAAATAAATGCAAAAGATAAAGAGTGGAATAGAAGCCTTCAGAAATATATGAAAGAGACACTTTAATACTACTGCCTAAGCTGACAAAAAGTTGTTTGTGTCAGTACAGTGTTGCCAGAGCTCAAAGTACTCTAAGTGAAACTAGCCACAGATGTAAAACCTTCAGCCTGTTTTTGTTTGTAAAAAACTGTGGCAGCAGACTGTTGATTTAAGAATGCTTTCTCTTTTCTGATGACAAAGGTCAGAATTTTTTAGCTTAGAAAAAGGAATTAAGACTTTCTATTTTCTTTCAGATGTTATTGGTTTGACTCACTATACCTCTCTGATTTGGCAATGTGCTTTGCTATTTCTCTATGAAGTTCTGGTAACAGCACACGTCACCTTTCATGTCCCAGAAGTTGAACATTGATAAGTTTGTTCTTTCTGACCTACGTGGCTTACAATTACCTCAGAGAAATGGGTACTTCTGGAAGCAGTCCCTTGTTTAGTTTATAAGCATTTGCTATCTAGGTATTCTGTTTGAATTCTACCAGAACAAAAGATGGGAGATTTTCAGCTCGTATGGCCTGTACAGCTGTATTCACCCAAAGTGTCATGGTAACTAGTGCCATTAACATAATAAAATAAGTTATTAGAACTGCTGCTCCACTTTCATTACCATGTTTTTTAAAGCAAGTTGCCTTCTCTTTGTGTGGTCTCAAGGTAGCTTGCATCAGACTCAGTCTTCTTTTAGGCTTTTAAGTGTAGGCCAGTGTAGTCAAGAGTGTCCTTACAGAACTTACTAGTTTGAGGGTTCAGGACACCAACAAAACTGTCATGTAGAAGTAATTTTTGGGCAAGTTCTCGCAAGATGGATGACTATCCGGAGACAGATGACCTTAGTGTTTTTAACCAAATATTTAAATGTTTTTCACTGTGGTAGTAAACAGAACTCATGGTCAGGCTTGGGACACAGCAGTAACTTTGTGTCTCTTTTGGTGTTTGTGTTGGAAAAGCTGGCATCAATAGTCAGTTTTACTGTGAGTGTTTGCCACACCTATCTCTGCTAGGGTGGCATCAAGGCAACTACAATAGAACTTTAGCTAAAGTGATTTATAACCTTGTTGTCATTGATGATGCTTTTAAATCATAATAGCAGAAGATCTGTATGTTGCCATAGAATGGAAGCCACCGTTAATTTGAGAAAAATATATAATATTATGTATATATCCATAATACATGTAGATCAAGGCTTACTGACCCCTCCTCTGTAATTCCTGCAGGTATCTTTGTGGATCCTGCCTATTTGTCAAGTGAATATTATTCTGGTGATGACCATATCATAAGCTCTATCTGAGCCTGTTCCTAGCCATGGAATGCTTCTGTCTCAGGATAAATATCAGAATATGATGAGCCCTAGTGTCCTGTCTCAAGGCTAGGAACCATGTTGCAATGTTATGCAGAGATGAGCTCAAGGTGCAGGGATAGTCTTAGGTGCACTTTTAAGGTTATTATTATTATTAGGTGCAAAGTTATTATTGTAGCAGTTGTCTGTACAGATCATTGTGTAAGATTCTTCTAGTTGAATTTAGTGGGAAAAGGGATGAGTATATTGTTTTTGTTAGCAGCAATACAATATCCTCTCAGGAATTTTGTGCAGAGCTGAGGAAGGTTTGAAGTGGTGTTTAGTCCTATGACATTGCCTGTGCAGTGTCACGTACAAGTGATGTGTGGGCTACATTGATAGCTACTACTTGAAAGCTACATTCAAATCAAGTCTGAGAAGACACCCATAAACAGCTTACCTTGTAGAACTTGTGTGATTGTATACAGATGAATAACAAATACTGATAAATCCATATGAATCTATTCTGGATTTTGGACTCATATAGAAGAATAAAATCAGTCTAATGGGTTGTGGGGTATTTATTTTGATTAAGACTCTCACCTAAGCATTCATGGCACATACTAAAAGTCCAGTTAAAAAAAAAAAAAAAAAAAAAAAAAAAGGCGGGTTTGATTGTAATAGTGTCTTGCATCAGAAATATATGCTCTTTCTGTAGTCTTAGGATGAAAGTTAATTCTTAGTGAATTTTATGCCTAAGCAAGGGGAAGCAACATCACATTGAATCATCCTCTGTCACTATGTGACAGGTAATGCTTTGAACTTGAGCTTTTTCCTCTAACTGCTTTTTCACACGGCTTGGCTTAGGTTTTATGGGACAGTATCTCTGCAGTGTGTGAAATATTGTTTTTGGAAATGTATTTTGAAAGTCAAGTCTGCTATGATTCTGGTAGGTTAATGGACCTAAAGTTTTTCTTCCTAATCAGTTGTTACTTGAATAAGATCTCTTTGCCCCCACTGTGTTTTCTTCCCCATCTTCCTCTTTGACCACCATTATATGGAGCATACTCTCATCTCATGTGTGTTAATGGCTTTTATGAACTCGCTGATTGCACTGCGTCAAAGGAAGGTGGTCCAGTACAGTTCCTCTATAAGTAGCTGGCTTGCTTTTTTTTGTTTTTTTCTTTTGGCTCCAGTGTCCTTCCAGCAAATCATTAAGTGTCCTGCTAGTTGGTACTGCTAAAGCTTCTTGTTGGATTCACGCTTTCAAGGCATTTACACAGTGTGTCAGATACTCCAGCATAAATACTACAAGTTCCTGTATGGGGTGCTTTCATCTGAGCTAGCCAATAATTTCACAGTATTACCACTTGGCCAAAATAGGAATCACAGTAGGGCAGAACAGTAGTGGCAGGAAATTAGGACCAAATTCATGGCAGAAAGACCAGAGTTCTCTGATCTGTGTGGTGAGCTTTACTCCAGGGTTCTGCTGGAATAAATTCCCTTCCAATACTGTAGGGCAGCTCTGCCTCCACTAGGAGTATCTACCGGGCTCATGCTGGTAGGTACCATGCCCCACAGATACGCTATACACACCTTTTCCAGCTAAAGCGTTGCTGTGTACTTTGCCATACTGAAGGAGCTGAAGTCAATTACTCCCGTGGAGCATGGATACGTGTGTTTTGATGCTGCATGTTCTTAGTTACTGGTGTGTTTTTGTGAGCTCATTTGGGAGCTTTCTGACCTTTGTTATATATCAAGGAACAGGACCTGTTTGTAGAAGTATTGGAAGAAGCATGGTCAGGTATTTTAGGAAATGCTTGTTTGACTCTCTAAAATGTGAATAGTAGTAACTAAAGTTGTGCATAAT